GATAAAACAGAAAAATTTTGTTCTTAGATTTTGTTCTTAGAACAGACGCTTGGTCGGATCCAAAATGTCATGATAATCGAAATAATAAATTTGTATTTTTGTATGCGTGTATAAATTCTTCTATTTTTAAGACACCTATGATAATAATTTGTTTTTAATGATATAATACTATAAAATATGATTTCTACATGCTGAAATAATTACTCTAATGATATATATGTGTTTTTTTACTCTAATAACAATTTTTTATATCAAATATTACAATTATTATAAATAATTCTATGTTACTGCAGAATATTCTGTTAATAACAAGGATGCTAAGGCAGCAATGCTAAATATTAATAGTACACTACTACAGCATTGCTGAACACTACTAAGGTCTTGCACCAGTGTAATAGCAGTGAACATAAGTAGTATTTCCATTAGTGACGCAGTAGTACCTACTGCTGTAGTGTTGAAAACTACTAGTAGCACTACTGGCTCAGCAGTGACACTATTGCGTATCAGTAGTGATACTACTGATATCAGTAGTGACACTATTAAATATCAGTAGTGTCACTACTGTGTACTACTACTACACTAATAGTGCAATAGTGGTGTATGCAATAGTACTCGGTAGTATTTTTCCGTAAGGGGAAAAGTGCAAAATTGTTCTACATTCGCCAAGAAAATGAATTATGCTTTAACAATGTCATTTTACCGTCCAAATAAAATCCAAGGTTATCATGCTCAACGTTATAGAAAATTTATACCCGCTTTGGGAAAAAAAACATAGAGAATCTTTAATACAGATTAATGCTGAAAGAACACTCAAAAAAGTGATCTTGCAGTTATAGTGAAAATTATCTAGGTACGAAAAATAGCTAAAATACATAAATTTCTAGCAAGTACTGCGATATTGTATATGTATAGCATCTAATCATATAGATGACAGAAATAGAATTTAGATTTGTGCTATAAATTCTATGCGTATGATACATGATTTTCTATCAGATACAAAAAACAACTATAATTCTAGCTGGAGTAGCAAAATATTTTTTTGCGTGAAGGTAAGGGAATATCATTTTTGCTATCTTTTAAGAATTTTGTCAATTGTTTGAAATATTTTTTTAAATATGTAAAATAGTGAAATACATATAATAATTCTAGAAAATTATGTTTAAAACTTTATTTCGTTTCAAGATAAGTTAAAAAAAGTTTTTATCGACGTTAGTGAAATAAAATTTAAAGAAATTATCAATCACAACATGAAATACTTAAATTTAATGGAAAGCGGAGGAAAACTTGAACGAAACCTGTCAGAACGAGAGAGGTGCACTTCATCACTTTCGATCTCACTCTCACGGGTTTGAAGTAAATAAATATTTCGAAAATTAAATGATATGAATTTATAGACTTTTATCTAATTTTCGAAATATTTATTTACTCTAAATCGATACAATAACTTATAATTAAACGATAATTTGTAACTAAAAACAAAATTTTGAGTAGTTGCAAGCAATTTGTAAAACTAAGAATGTGGATGCATTGAATTTACCACCATGAACATCAGAATTAAAAAAACTATTCCAACGAGCCGCTTACATTACAAATATTTAGCGAAATGCGAATCTCAAAATCCCAACAAATATGTCTCCTCTTAACTATGGTTGGGAAGAAATTGACGACCGATACCAGTTTGTTTGGTTCGAGGGAGAACAGTTACCAATGTTTGTTAACTATGTTTTAATAGAGATTCTAATGAAGATTCAGGTAAATAATTTCTTTCACATATCATACGTAACAAATAATTATTTATTCATGTTATATGCTTTATAAATACTTATTTCTAGATGCAACATTAGACTGTACAAATGATACGAATAATACAGATGATAATACAGATAATCAAGACGAAGAAGGAAGCGATAGTGATATTGAATAAAACGCGCGAACATAAAATATTATTGAAAGTTTTTTAAATTCAATTTCGTACTATAATCTTTAATTTTCTATTATTTATGTATAACTAAATTAATGTTTAGAATATTGTTTCGACATGTTTAATTAATATTTGACAAAATTAATGTTTTTAATATTGTTTCGATATGATTAATATTTTAAAAAAGTTTCCAATTCTTAAACAAATATAAATGTAGATTTATTGTTCATAATTATATTTACAATTATTTATATATATTTTTATTTATATATATATATTTTTCTCACTTTTATCAAAAAACAATGTTTTTAAATTAATATTATTTAACTATGTGTAAAAGTTATACAACAGAAATCCAGGATGGAGAATAAGCGCAAACCAACGCAGCCACGGGCCGCGCGCGTAATATCATCCCTTTGATCACATCTAATGAGGTATTAGTCCCGTTAAAAAGCCGTCTGACTATTTTTTTCGTATGCAGCATTAAATAATTTAGTGCTCTACCAAATTTCAGATTTTAGAAAACAGTTACGTTATATATTTTTTTTTGCAACTTTAAGGTAGTGCTGACGCTACGTGTTCTGCTGGACTGTCTGACGGTTATATTTACATCTTATTGTATAAACTATCCGTACATGAATTTTCAGCTTTTAGAAAATACTTTTGTGACACTACTTTTTTTGACATCCTTTAAGGAATGCCAGCGCTAGAGGTTCTAACACCTGACCTGCTGATTCTAGCATTTTGCTTTTTATCCTAAATACAACTATATACAAAAAAATCTAGATTTTAGAAAATAGTCACGATTTTTTCACCGGCTTCCCGGACTATTTGTCCCTCGGACCCAGCGTCTGATTAGTTTGTGATGCACTTCCTCCTCCCTGACCCTGCATACAACACATATACATACTGCATATACATACACGCACTAACACATAGTGTTATCAAAGAATATCAAAATGAGCGAAATATAAATTTGCTTCTTTAGTTGTTCGTGGCGTCAAGAAAAATCTCCTTCACACGCTGGCTGCGTGTACGACTGACAAGTGCCAACGGGTTCTGCACGATTACAAAGTGAATCAAATGTCAGTACAGGTGGACTTCGATAAGGTAAGCAGACTCAAGTCATTTCTTATCGTAAATATTATCTTAGTTAATTACCTACAATCAATTACGAGCGTTTCCTTGTTTACACGCAGTACATGGACCGTTACTTCCCAAAGGTATGATTTTACAATAAAAGAAAACCTTTTGTAATGTAATGAAATTTAATAAAAATGCCTTCGGACCTCGATGTATAAAAAAAATTATTTAAAGAGAAAATGAGATTTTTTAGCAACTTCGGCATCGCTGTTTTTAAGGAAATATTATCTCGAGGTCTCTAAGTGCATTGAAAACAGTGATTTTGTTAATGTATTGAAACGGTAGATTTGTATAAAGCTTGCCTCGGCTTTCGTTTGCTCATAATAAGGCTTCTTAAAATAAAGTCTCGAATCTTATCGAAGCGATTAGATCTAATAAGAATTTTTGGCCCCACCACTTTTATATTATTAAATATTTAGATTAATTAAATCACAAAAGAATTAAAATATAATGCATGACATATCGGTGCAATTAATTCGTAAATTCAGATATATTTTGACATATTGTAGACCAATGCAATTAATTTTTATGCTTTAATGTAATTTACTACAAAACATCTTCATTAATATCGAATATTGTAGTTACTGATACATCGTGATACGTGATCATTACTGTATGAGGGACAGATACTGTATAAATTTATTTGATTCCATGCTTGCCACAAATAGCTTCTAGCATCTGTAAGTTGTAAAGCAAAAGCATGCAGTTTCCTTACTCATGTGTATATCGTTTTACATATAAATATGTTTATTTTTATTAATCGATTACTTTTGCAAAATAATTTGCACGAGTAAAAAATTTGCTGGATATATGTATACATTACATAAGTATGTTCAATTTCTTTCTGAGAGCACATTATTATTATTATTTGCACTAAACTTGCTTCTCTATCGAATATAAAGGTGCAATTTCATGCAGCGAAGGAAAGCTGGCGTTTTACCCCCATTCCACCACAATCAAAACAGCATTCAAAAGCTATTCACTATTTTCCTGCTTCCTTTTCATGGAGCGTATTTTCGCTGATTTTAAGCTGACGAAGACACTCATTTATTTTCTCTAACTTTTAATTAAAAAAAATTAAAATGGATCATAATAGTGAATCATATATTGGGTACGTACAAAAATATAGCTATATGGTAGCAGCTACAACTGTAACAGAAATTCGGGGATGTCGCATAGCCGCTGCCAGTGCTATTAAACAATTATTAAAAAAGAAGAAGTATTGGGTAGCACCCATTTTCGAAAATCGCAGCAAACACGGTTTTTTCTTCGCGTCGCTCAAAGTTAATTTATTTAAATATATACTTACCTCGGATAAACTTCCGAAAATGCCCAACGCCTGATTATCACGAGTTTTGCCAGAAATACTCCAAATGACGTCAAATGAATGCCTTTAAATGGATTTTCACCGACAAAAAGGTTTAATGTCAAAAATGTTTAAGTAAAGTTGTATACTAAATGCATTACCGCTATATAGCTCGCTGTAATAGGGCGTGAAAAATCATACGCCTATTCACGTAATATTCACCTTTACACAGCCAGCTCCCCAAATGAACTCCGAGTGACCTTGACCTTGACCTTGTCCATTGAAAAGTTATGAACCCATGTGCAACAGTACAATTATGAAAGTTGGTTGCCCCTTTGCAGGGCGGGAGGGGGGAGATGAGAGTCGCTTCGTGTGGAAACTCGAAACTCATGTGCAACAGTACAATTATGGAAGTCGGACGCCCCTTTGCAGGGAGGAAGGGGGGGATGAGAGTCGCTTCGCGTGGAAACTCGAAACCCATGTACATACAACAGTACAATTATGAAAGTCGGGCGCTCCTTTGCAGGGGGGAGAGGGGGTGAGAGTCGCTTCGCGTGGAAACTCGAAACCCATGTGCAACAGTACAATTATAGAAGTCGGGCACACAATAAATATTTTCCTTCTATATACGCATCCCCTCCATTCAACTCCTATATAAACTGCGATAAACATGTAGTATACTAAAAATAATAAGCACAAACTTCCATAACTTCATTCACACATTTTTGGCATTAAACTTTCTTGTCGGTGAAAATCCATTTAAGGGCATTCATTTTACATCATTTGGAGTATTTCTACCAAAATTCATGATAATCGAGCGTTGGATATTTTCGGAAGTTCACTCCTTACCTCGTTTATATTTTCTGTCGCCAAAAATTTATTGACTCCCCATGCATAGAAATCTAATGGCGTTAAGTCGGGCGAACGAGTTGCCCAATGTACTGCTCCTCCACGTCCAATCCATCGTTGTGGGAATTTTCTATCTAACCAGGTTCTAGCGACTCTGCTGTAATGAGCAGGGCATCCATCTAATTGAAACCACATTTCAGTACGTTGTTGTAATGGGATGTTTTCTAAATAGTCAGAAAATTCATTCTCCAAGAAATTTAGAAAACGGTCCCCATTTAATCTTGCAGGTAAAAAAAACATTTTTTTTCGATTTCTCTGAAACGGAGCAAAAACGAGCATATGTCTATAGGACTTTTTTTCTTAGTTTTTTACTCCTCTACACGCTCCCGAAGTTTTGCGATTTAATTTGGAAACACCCTGTATAATATTTAATATATACACTTAAATACATAATTAAACTTATTCACAATTAAAAATTATACGGTTATAATTTTATGTCAATAAATAATTTATTCAGCAATAATTCGCTATTAATTAAATAATATCGAACTTTGAGCGTAACTTCGCTGGATGTGAAAATTAATGGAGTGGGAATAGAACGCCAGCTTTCATTAGCTGCCTGAAATGATACCTTAAAAAAAAATTTATGATGTTACAGAAAACAAAAAAATGTATTTCATATACAGAATGTTCTATTTTTCATACAATATTTTATAACGAATTTCCTTGCTCAATATGATAATTTTTCTTTTGCGAAAATATCATATCGATCACTTTTGAATTGTGAGTGATTGAAAAACTGAATCTGCGTTTTAGATTTCAAAGAGTCGAATAAATGAACAAACTTCAACTAATCTCAAACGAATTCATTCATTTGAAATATTAATTTCAAATTGGAATTTAATTGTAAAAATATATAATGCTATTGAAACGTTGCGATAAAAGAGGATCTTCCATGATATTTTCGTTATGAGAAAAAATTAATTATAAATAATTTTACGTCAAGAAATAATAAACACGAGAAGTGGGAGCGCATTCATGATAGAGGTACAATTTTCAAGCAGAAAAGATTTTAGCAGCATGAAAATTCCGATAGAAAACATTTACTTACGAAATTATATAAAATAAAAAATTATATGAAATTTTTGGAGACACGGTAGTGTCTCGAGTCTAAGCATGGCGCGAGACGCTGCCGTGCGTCCTTTACGCGAACCGGCGAGTTGCGTCAGACCGAGATTATCAGATCTCAATAACGGCTGTCCCGATCGAGTCTTTAAGTACACTTAATCGATAGCTTACACTCCGATTGTATTATACTTGCTTTTATTTTTTCTAACGTACCTTATAAGTGGAGATATTGCGACGCAAAGTTCGAATTTGTAACTTTTCACGTTCAGACAAGTCATTGTCATCGTCGATCATATTTCGCGCATTCCTTTCGTGTCCTTCGGACATTTTTTACGCAAGGAGCGCTTGTGACATACATGATTACAAACCCTTTAATCAGAGACTGGCCATCAGAGGGCCTCTTTTTATTGATCTAGAATTTTCGTCAATTCCCGGTCATATTTGAAACGTACTAACCTTATCGTTAACATAAACGTATTATATTTCAATAACACAATTAAAAAAAACATGTCAGAGGAACTAAATATTATCTTCTTTAATAAAATTAATAATACATTCCTAATTTTATTATGATGACTTTAGAAATATAATACTTAAATTCACAAAGATATGAATTATTCGTAGACATCCAATCTTTACGGGCAACATTTTTCGCCCATATCGCACGACGTTCACGATCTGTCGGAAATATTTTCATATATCCTTTTATGGATGAATTATTGCAAAATTCGACGCAACATTCACCCATTCTTGCAATATCAACAAATGTCTAAGGCCCGGTTGCACCAACATTACTTTGATTTTAAGCGAGGCTTAAAACTCTCTTTATCTCTCTTTCTCTCTTTCGGCTTTAGAGAGAAACTGAGAGTTTCTTTAAGCATCGCTTAAAGTTAAAGTACGTTGGTGCAATCGGACTTAACTGATGTCTAACACAGTACACTGGTACACGTGCGCGAAAGAGCGAGACTGAGCGAGACAGTCTATATACTTCTCTCACTCGCAGGAATTTGATGAAATCTGTTGGTCAGTCTCTGATTAAAGGGTCTCTAATACATGATCAGCGAGCTGCGAATTGTACTATACTATGTACTACGATAGTGCCTCGATCGTTTTTTCAAAATTACAGGATCGGTAAAGTCGGTAATAATGAAACACGCTGGTTTCGGCTACCCTTAGCGGCTAACTAAACTGGGAAATGATAATAGGTGTCCGCCATCGAGAAACTAAATGTCCAGATGTTCGCCGTCGAGGAAGTGGGTGTTTAGGTGTTTATCATCGAGGAAATGAGTGTTTAGGTGTTCGCAGTAGAGGAAGTGGGTGTGTAGATGTTCGCCGTCGAGGAAGTGGATGTCTAGGTGTTCGCAGTTGAGGAAGTGGGTGTCTAGATGTTCGCCGTCGAGGAATTATGTGTCTAGATGTTTAAGACACGAAACCACCGCAGCGAATCGCTTCCGCGAATTGGTTACGCGATTATGCAATACGCATCAAATGCGCCTCATGCGACTCCAGCATTAAGATCTCTAACTCGTAACTTGCGTCAATCAATCAAATCGTATCAAATTGTATCAGCTACTACGGGTTATTCTAGTTGAGACGATTGGTTGATTAGTCTTTGTATTCCTATTGAAGGATCTTCCTATTCCGATCTAAATGATTTTAATTCTTCTTATATGAAATTTTTATATTGCAATTCATTCAAAGACATTTTCCTTTCTAATCAAAGTAGTAGTTACAAAATTTTATCCTTCGTATTTGTAAAAAATTGATTTTAAAAAAAGGGCGCTAAGCATATACGTGTTTCTCGAATAGAACCTACACTGTTAGAAATGTGACCACGAGCTTCCTTTACGTGTAAATGAAACTCGTGGTGTTATGAATGAAATTAAAAGTAGAGGAGAAGGTGGTATTATGGCCAAGGTATATATTGTGACCTTCCTTAATATCTCCGCTATTATATAGCGAATTTTAATGATTACTTATGGAATTATTAGTTCAGTTCGCCGTTACACCATGACGCTAATATTACCAATACTTAATAGCCAGCACTTATTATAACGCATTTTTACTTTCAAGTATTTCGAAATATTTCTGAAGTACACTTTAGCATTTAATTACACTTACTTCTTTATTTTTCTTAAACTTGAGCATATTATCACACGAATATATGTATTTTTGAGTGTTATTTTAACATTTTATTTGACTATATATATTTTGAGTTATATCAATTTAAACAATACTATCGCATTTTGCTAATGTGGCCCTCTATGAGAATTGATTATCACAACTATTTTTTTGAGGTTTTTATATCAAAATAATTATTTGATAATCGATTGTAATTCTACTATTAATCTATAGTTTATATTACGTACAGTACTATTTTTAGTACTGAGATTTTTAGTACTGAGCAGCTTATATGCAGAAGTTATGTGAATGTATATACATTCATTTGCATACATTTTAAAATGTTTTACTTTGTTGTAACCAAATACTGTTTTCTAAACAAAACTAATATTTTAAGGCTATTTTTATGGTAGGCCATATTACCGCCCATTTTTTTCTTAGAGTCATGCAACATTTAGAGTCGTCACATTTTTATTAATAGTATCTTAAGTAATAAATATTTCGTAACTTTGAATCCAGAATTGATTCAACAACATTTTATGAATGTAATTGTCAAGTTTTAAACTTAAATATTGATTATTAATAAAGTTATTGTGTAAAATGTAACTGGAGTGTCATCCCAGATAGCAAAGCGTGTCTCAGCAAAATCGTACAAATCTGTGATCACTTATGATGCTGGCAATTTGCCGTAGATTTGTCTTCAATGATTTCGAATATACCGACATTGTAACAATATGCAGACAACAATGTGTATATGTACTACCAGCAGTTTAACAGCAAGATAGCTGCGTCAATGTTATCTTGCGTTGTCGGCAATATGACAGCATTGTATGACGCTGCACATTATTATGGCAACATCATGACAATAGTATGAATTTTGATGATGACGATTTTAAAGTTGTCGGCAAATTGCTGGCAAATTGCTACTCAGTGTTATTATATTGTAAAGATATCAAGTTGCCAACAAATGAGGACTCAGTTGCTACAATTTTGGTAACAACACATACTTAGCAATGCATACTTAGCAAGCAACAAGACAGACGCGTTACTATCTGGGAATACCATCTCCTCTAATGAATGATTCAATTGAAAATTAAATTACAGTAGTTATTTAATATAATGAACGTGTACATTAAATTTCATAAATTTTCATGAAAAATACATTAAATTTCATGTACGTGTACACAAATACACTTTTCAGTTATAAATATATTAAATTTAATGTAATATCATAAAATTAAGTTCAAATTCAACTCAAAAATTAAAAAAATTCTGAAACTTTATGTGCAAGTAGAGTAGTTCATCCGTAACACAAAACTATTTTTTGTTCGTTCGAAATTACAGTTTTAGGGGGTGAAACACCCCTTTGAAGAAATCAGCTTTTTCTTTTGAAGCGAATCTTAAGATCGTCGAAACTATAAGAGATAGAAAAAAATTTCCAGAATGAAAATTAAATGTTTTTAAGAGTACTTTAGAACTATAATAAAATAAAATTAAAATAGGGTTGGGAGGGTGGAGGTATAAAATAAATGAATAATTAAATAAAATTTTTTTATTATAGTTCTAAAATACTCTTGAAACCTCTTGAAACATTCAATTTTCATTTGGTAAATTTTTTTCTATCTCTTATAGTTTCGATGAGATTCGTTTCAAAAGAGGAAAACCGATTTTTTTCAAAGGGGTGTTTCACCTCCTAAAACTGTAATTCCGCACGAACAAAAAATAGTTTTGTGTTAGGGATGAACTACTACTCTACTTGCACACAAAGTTTCAGAATTTTTTGAATTTTTGAATTGCCTGTTCCTTGTGAGAGATATATCCTCGGTTTGTGGCCATTTTTTTAAATTATTCTAATTTTAAAATATTTAAATTTATACAACGTATGCGTATGCTTTTCAGTCATATTTTCATGCATTTGCGTGCCCCACAAAATTAGATTTCGTGAAATTCAAAGAATTATATGTTTCTGTCTTGTAGCTTCGGAGGGCAAATTTAGCACGAAATATTCAGATTCAGCAAGGAAATTTTAAATCTGTTCTATGTGTGGTGAATCTATTAATGCCAATTGAAAGCATGTTGTGATGTGATACTTTTCAGCTGCCAGACGTTACATTTGCGTTACATAACATCACCGTGCTCATGGAGAGTAATATAGTGTCGGAAGTAAGCCAGGGCAGGGATTCGTTTCTGAAGATTCAGAAGGATATACAGCACGCCGTTAATCAGACGATCCCTGTGGTCAGTGCGAGTATTCGACGAGCCTGTAACTACCTGGCGAGCATTGCCAATAACATGACTGCCCTTATCGACAGGATAAATGTCGACATAGATAAAGTATATATGCGACATTTAGAAGTTGCCCAGAACAATATAAATCAATATTCGCCCTATAGGTTCGTAGACAAATAAACTTGAGACAAATGCATTGCGAGGCATAGAATTCATAAGGGACATCTAATGATCCTTAAATATACATGATTTGTTTTAGATACTATCTTGGTCTTGGTATATCTGGTATTCTTCTGACTGTCTTGATGTGTTTAACGTGTGGCCTTTTCTGCGGTATTTGCGGAAAGCGTCCAGACGGATACGGAGATGATTGCTGTAATAAAGGGTCAGGGGCACGATTTCTTATGATGTAAGTTGCAAAAGTTACTAGAATTACGTAAAATAAAATCAGTTACCATTGTCATTCTCTTTTTTTATAACTGTTAACATTTCAAATCGCAGGGCTGTGTGGATTATCTTTCTTTTGACAAGCGTTTTGATGGTTATAACCGTTGTTCATATGATAACCGGCGTTATGGCCCAACGTGGTATCTGCGAGCCTTTAAAGAATCCAAAAGACAACAGGATGTTCGAACTGGTCGACGAGCTCGTACAAATCAAGAGAGTACTCTATCCAAAAGATGTTAATGCGAGTATTAACATGAGTTACATTGTAACGTAAGTATGTCTATGGAGTATATGCTGCATTTTAAAATCGACTAAATTCTAAGAAAGCTTGTATTCTGACAAGTGATAATCTCATTGTGTAATCAGGAGATGCGGTAGCGCCTCCCGTCAAGTATATCTACCGGAAAAGACATTAAAAATATAAAAAAAGGCATCAAGTATATTTTGCAAAAAAAATCAAAAAGAACACCATAAAAAAAGAGGTAAAATCAAAATAATTGTTACGTCTTTCCGTATAAATACAAATTTTTGTCATTTTGCTATCTCACGCTGTATTTTCTTTTCATGATTCGGTTTTTACATCGTTCTGTATGAATTACTTATTATAGTTTCGTTTTGCGTGAATATTCTGCGAAAATAATATTCAGTTTAATCGCGTTACTTTCGAACACTCCATGCTGGCGTGATGCGTGCGTTAGCTAGCGCGACCAATCATATCACTCGCAAGGCGCGTGCCGCGTGCCAATGCCGAACAATAGAGATTCCCGGAAGAAATAACTGTCTTGAAACAAGAGACTCGTTCACATGTATCGAAGTTTTTATTATTTCGTTATCCTCTACAATAAAACCTTCATAATTCTATTTGGCTATGTTTTATGGCGTTTTTCACTGGGTGCGCACCAAAAACTCGTTCAGTGGCAGCAGCACTGCACGAGATTGCCGAAAGTGCGAGTTTATTGCACTCCCAACTAAACACAGCTACATCAAGTTCAAATGCCACGAAGTGCAATATTTTTTCTACTGTTATTGTATTAGTAAATTATAAATAAATATATTAATAATGTGAGAGATAAAAAGTGTGTCTATGTATAACCACTTTATCTGTACACTTATGCACCAAGTCAACAAAGTTTTCAATTTTACGAATTTTACGTGAAGTTTGATTTAGTAAACATTCATCTTTATCACTACTACTGGATGATGACAAAGACTACAAATCAAGCAGTTCAAATGCAAACCGAGCTGTGAAAACATTCGCAACTTCCCGTGCCATCATATTGCACTAAACTCAAGAAGACTAGAACCAGGAGAGTCAACTCGTGCCAATAGCGGTAGTGGGGGTGAGGCAAAAAGTGGCGACGGATAACTTCCCCCACTCTTGCGCTTCATTAGTCCTCTCTGTCGCTCTATATAGTTGTCGCTCTATCGTTCTATAATCGTCACTTTGTCGCTCTTATATCGAACTTTCACACAATGCGCAGTGCCGCTGCACATCGTGTGAATAGCCGCGGAAGTTTTTTGACTCACCCCCACCACGCGAGTTGATCCTCCTTAGTTCTAGTCTTCTTGACTAAACTAATAAGGCCTCTTGGAGCTCGTGCCAAATTTCCGCACTCAAGTGCAAAATTCGGCACCAAGTTTTCTAGTGAACAGCGCACACCGTTTTCGTTTGCACCGAAATACCCAGTGAAACACGCTGCTCTCGTCTAGTGCACACTCAGTACGCAACAGTGCGGCCAGTAAAATACGCTATTGATCATTGTAATTACTCGATACAAGCAGTTAACGCGAACCAATCACGACTCGTGATGCGCATGTCGCTCGTCGCTTAGATTTATGACGAAAACTCATCCGTACAAACTAATAGCGTTTTCGGCCCGATCGGGTTTGCACCAACCTGGGTTGGATTAATCTTTCCTATTGGTTGACGTTACACGCTCTACCAATAGGAGAGCACAAAACCATTAATCCAATTTAGGTTGGTACAAACCCGGTTGAAAACGCTTTAAGATTCTTATTGTTTTCTTATATCTAATTCTTTACATTTCTCTCTAATTTTGTTATTTTAGTCATTAGGATTACTTTGTACAAGCTTGAAACATATATCAGCGAACGTGAGCCTATCACGTCTCTCGCGAGGTGCCTGGCGCGCGCCGACCAATCGGAATCCTTGGAAAGAGAGACTCGGACTAGAATGAAAAACTCGCGAGATAAATTAATAATTCCATAGCTTTATTAATTAATGGGAAACCGAGTTTCCTAACTAAGCATCTCGAATACGCTAAATAAATTCCGTTGCTTTAATGCCAAATTTCAGCTGAGAAACCGTTGGTTCAATCGCTTTGTCTTGTCACCTAATACTTTTCGATAGAGCTCGTCGAAAAGTATTAGGGCTCGAAGCAATTGGGCCAACGGTTTGCGAGATACGCTACATGGGAAGGGTCATCGAAAATTTTCAATAATTTTTTTTTCTTTTTTCATTGATCGGATTTGTCTGTTATGCATCAGGAACTAGATATTTACAAAGTAAAGCTATTAAGTCGCTCAGAACTATTCGATCTCGATTTTCGATAAGAAGTTAGCAACCCATTTTTTAAGAATTATTAAAAAATGGTTATTAAGCGGAACTCTTATTATAAACTATAAGGAACTTTTCGTCTCGGAAGGAAGTTCGAACTCTAATTAGAACGCCTGAATATTATATTTGGGGTGCTATCTTCACATACCCCATATAGACAATGTAATTTCGAAACATATTACAAGAAATACATATATAAGTATCAATTTTACGTATAACTCGCTTTTAAATCTATTTGATAATAAAGAAATTTCTTAATCCGCAAATGAGTCATGCATTATTTCTAAAAATTTTTGTTCAGATTTCTGTTTTCATTCGAATCAATTACAGACTGATTAAAGATAATGATATTATATCAAATAATAACTGCTACTACTACTGTAATAAATTTCAGATTTTATTAATAAAGTGTAAAAAAATGTGAGTGTCTCATAGAAAAATATTTGTTATTATATGTTTTATATGTGTATTTGTTGAATATGAAATATATATCAGTACTAAAATAATAACTTGAATATATATAAAATTTCTTTAATTTGCGAAAAATAGTTTATAATTAATAAAATATTTATTGAATTATTTGCATGAATCGAATTATGAAGAAAACAGTCGCGTCAAGTATGCTGCTGCTGGAGATCTTGTTCATTTTCGATTTTTTGTCTCTACAATTTTCTACTTGTTATCGATGTAAAAATCCCTTTTCGATTTCTGCGCCTCTCATTACACTATCTTTGCATTTCATTTTCTCATTTTAATATGTTATTGTACTTTATTCACTATAAAGTCTTTCGTATTTTGTATTAAGTCTATTATGATTGTGAGAAATTATCCCATACAACACAGTCCTAAAGAATGTTCGAAGAATGTCTATCTTATAAGGACGTCTTCAAGATGCCGCCGGAGAATTGTGTTCTGTGGGACTTTTTTTAATAAATATACTTGAAATATTATTTTGATTTCACTTCCTTTTTATGACATTATCTTTGGTTTTTTTTTTTTTGCAAAATATACTTGACGCCTTTTTTACATTTTTAATGTCTTTTCCGATTTTTATATATTACAAGAGAGAAAAGTTAAGATTTATTATCGATTCATTTAATAAGCGCCATGTAAAATAAGTGGATATAGTCCTGTACGTATTGAATAAAAAAAATTGATATGTGACTTGATTTTTTTCCCCATTATAGCAAATGCCACGAGAACGAGACGCTTTACAATGTGCTGAATCTAAAAAATGTGTTCATCGTTGAGAGCCTCCGCAATTACAATGGACGTTACGACATCAATGATACTATCCAACAACTGCGCCGCAAGATCAGCCTTTCTCCCGGTGTAGTGATCCTGAAGGATAGCGCGAAATCCAAACTGAACGATCTAGCACAGAGCGGTCTCAGTGACATCAAGTTCTATCAGTACGCTGAGCTACTCGCCGAGAACATTACGAATATTAATTTGGAACATCTTGCCAAACAATTACGAGAGGTTTCCGCTAAATTACCGGAGGGACAAGAGGAAATCAGGCTCAGTCTTGAGAAGAATGCACATGACTTGGAACATTATCACAGAGACTTGGTCATGCCCATGGCCATGCTCAGCGAGCAATTGAGCGCGAACGCATTAACGCTTCAGGAGACCATTAAATTCAATCATAGTTCAATGGCTGATGCTATTCATGATTTAGTGGATGAAGTTACCAAGGCGCAGCAATTCCTGAATAAGGATGGACCGGAATACGTTCAATATGTACGTCTCATTTTTTTATAAAAATATATTTTCGTAATATTACTATATGTTACATTGATGTTATTTATAACATATCAATTTAAAATATGTTATTGTTGATAGCTTGCTACTAAATTTGGCAATGCGTTTTTGCATCAAGTGGACAAATTTCTCGAGCATGTTATTGAATCTGCAATTTTCAAGATTGGAAGATGTGCTCCCGTGTCGAATGCTTATAACGCAACGCTCGTAGCCGGATGCAATAGAATTTTGGATCCATTCGTAAGTATTTAGTTTGCTAGACGTATTTATAAATCCATAAATCCACGCATACCTATTATCAGATAACGCTAACGTGCCTATGTATTATTTACATAAATTCTTAAATTTCCACTAAATTTCCATTAAATTTCCCGACCGTTTTAGAAGTCTCGTAAACTGATAAGCAAATTTATTGCAACGGATGACAACTAAAGTATTGTACGAGTAATACATGCGTTATGAAATTAAGCAGGCTTCGCTGAAAATTTAATATTTATGATTTTATTTACATTTATATATAGAACGGCTTTTGGGCAAGCGTTGGTTGGTGCCTAATCCTATTCATACCAACGATAGTGCTCTGTGTGAAGCTGAGCGCTCTGTATCAAAAGTCAGATCCATATCCAGGGCCTCTTGTCGAAGCGTAAGTGTCTATTCTCTTCTTATAAATATAACAGTTCTCAACTGCGACGTAAGAGACATCTCTTTAATTGTTTTTGACTCATCCAATACATGGTGCATGACAATATTTGAGATACTAATGTGTCTTTAGTAAATCCATTATCAATCGACATCATACATTAAACATGAGTCATTCACCAAATCGTTGATTAACGTCCCAAGTATCAGTTACAAATCTAAAAGAAATAAAATGTAAGAAATAACATGACGCATTATACGTTAAACTTCGGAACGATAAAGCTTTTCTTCTTTCTTTTTTTGCGAACCTCAACGTACAACGAATCCCTGAACACTTCTCATGTAGAAACTGTTAATTCTTTTATTTCCGTCTCGTAGTCACTCTCGAGCTTCCATATATCATGGCATGTACTTATTCGCGCTTTGTAACATCTTTGATATCGGCATGTCCATGTTTTTTCATTTCCAAAAAATCCTTCGATCCCGGAAATTCTGAAAGAATATCCAGGTTCGAAATTGTCCTCTTGATCTCGAAAACTTACAGCCTGTTTAAAACAGAAATAATTACCTAATGTCCGTGCCACACTATGCATTAGAGATTGAGAATTGCGAATTGAGGAAATTAAAATTCAGCGAATCAAAACGAAACAGATTAAAATTAAAATTATCCGATTGGTCGAATTCTAATCTTCAATCAAATTTAATCTTCGCAATCCTCAATCTTCAATGCGTAGTGTGATACGGGCATAAGATAATTACCCTGAATCGAGTTTAAATCTCCTTTCATATAATTATTATAATTAACAATTCTTATTTATGTAATCAGTGATTTTGTACCATCAAAAATTACCAGTACCATTTTGATTAAGTCACTTATACTATTTCGGTGTTTACAAAAATATCTCAACTATATCTCGGACGCGCATTCTTTTATTAACTGAACAACAACGTGAGATTGTACAAAATCTATTTTACACTTAGACCGAACGCGGTCCACTGCGGTAGCCTAGATTATGTAGCTGTCTAATGTGTGGAATGATTGTTGGAATCTAACCGCTAACACGCTCCGTTACAGTGAATATTTGTATGACGCATACGCAGACAGGGATAACATACCCCTCGCTCAGTAAGTATACTACGACAAAGCCAAAGTGTGCTCGCATGTTCCACATATCACCAAGATATACGCATGTATATATAAAACTTGTCGTCAACTTTTCATGTGATATAAATTGTTTGAAGCAATATGATATTTCCCGCACCTTATTTTTTGCCGTAGATCGTGCAGTGGTTCATTTTCTGGTAATTAAGAATCAGAGTTCGGAAGTAACGCGTTAATTGATACCGTTGCAATTTCTTTTTTTTTAATAATGAATGAGTAATGATGTTACATTTTTTTATTTGCAATGTTAATGGTTACGCAGTTAATGGTTAATAGTAATATAGTTACATTTTTGGTTAACGGTAACGAATATAATCGTTACTTTTGTCGTTACTTGCATACATACAATACATGTGTATGGAAGGGTAGGGAATGTGCGAATTTTTTTATCATGTTGCGACAATTGAATACTACTTTAATGTTTTTGAGTAATAACAACAATAATAAATTACTTTTTTTAAATTAGTACCGAGTTACTTTTACAAAGTAACTTCTTCTCAATCCTATTAAGAATAATTTTTTATTACCTGAAATATTATACATATTTAACTTGTTCTTTTCTCTCTTAA